TTGATAAAACCCATTCTTATTGCTTCTTAGATAATCTCATCTTACAACCCAATATTCTCCTGGGCATATTTTCTTTCATTCACTGTAATCTTTAAATCCTTCCAAAGCAGAGAAGGAGACAGGAAAACAAACAGGAAACAAGCAAATAAAAAAATGTTGTACTGTGGTTGAAAGTTAAAAAACTAAAGGTGGGTCTTATGAGACCAGAGCTTTATTTTTGGCTCCTTCAAACTTTCAGTGCCATCTTAGCCAACCTCCAACATCTCTGTACCTCAATTTTCTTAGCTGTAAAATGGAAAACATGATTTTAAACCACATAGCCTCACAGTGCACTGACAATACGAATGCTTAGTATCTGTGAAGTATTTGGAAGCTATTACTGAGTTAAAGGTATTATTTCAGAAAGCAGCAAAATTATTTCACAGTTTTCCTATAAATCTGCCTCCGTTAGTTCTGTCTCTTGTTTTTATTACACTTTTCCTCTATTGTAGATAAAGGATCTCTGGTACTAACTCCATTTAAATGACTGTCTCCTCCATATCAATCCTAATCCTGCAATGAATTTCTGTATCATCTATCTCACAAAATAATGTCACAAGGCAGAATCCCAACAATCAGGGTAGCTTTACTTCAAACTTACTACCCAGTCATTACAACGACCTTACATTTAAGTTATCCTGTGTTTTAGAAAAATAAATAAAATAAAATAGTAAGAGCCCTCAGACCTTGGGACCAAAGTACCCAGAAAGGCTTTTAAAATTAAGTCTGGGTTCAGCATCTCTGGGAAAGAACTCTTGCCAGCCTTTGTGAATAATTTTTCCAACTCTCCAAGATGTTAAACAATTCTCTTCCTTCCATCACGGCCCACTGGGGTGCCCCCCATACGGGCCATGACTAGGTTTATCCTACCAGAAAGCTTACTCTGACTCATCACCATTTTTTTCTCCCAGAGGCAGACACAGCCCGGAGCTTTCTCTAGAGCTCTAAAGAGGCGCCCGCCCACCACCTCCCGAAATGACCGACCTCTCCCATCCCGGGGTGCACCGCAGGTTCAGCCCCGTGGGGAGAGCGTGCGTCGGCATCGGGGTGATGCCTGACCCAGCTCTGCTTCTGCAAAGAGCGGCGTGGGCAGAGGCGCTCCCCGCACCTCCCTGCCTGCCTGCCGCGGGGAGGATGCTTTCGGCCCTTGCTCTCAGCTCGGGGCAGGGTGCAGTGCTCTGAACACCACAGCAAGAGGTCTTATGGACCAGGGTGGCTGCAAGCACCGTGTGGCGCTGGCTGGAGCAATAAATAGCAACAGCCGCTATTAGTACCTAAAACTTCTCTGCTGCCTGAAGAATTACAAATGCTAAAGGCCTGAAATTTTAATTGGTATATTTTAATGAACTTAGTTATGCTTCCTTTTAACCTCCAAAGCTCTTCCCTGCAAATATATATATTCCCCTCCCCCCCCCCCTTTTCCCCCCCCGCCTCCATGATTTCAGGGGTGAATGCAAAGCCCAATGCCTTCAGTGGGACTCTTCCTATTGATTTGGTTCCAAAGTCCTTAGGCTTTGCCTGTATGATTTCAGTTCTATTTTAAAGGTTTAGGCAATCTTAAGAGCAACCTCAGCTATTTTAAACTATGTTAATTTGATCATATTAATCTATGGTTTGCAGGCTCAGAATTCAACATCCACAGTCAAAGATGACTCAGACTACTCAATCCTTTCTGGACTTTTTTTCCTTTTTTTTTTGAAAACAAACCATCTCACAACCTTCTGTATTACCTTTACAGCAGTTGTGATTTTTCCAACCAGATGTCAAAGACTTTCAAAGTTGGATGACCAACTGGAGAGTTGGATGACCAAACCTATTCTGGTGGGGAATCTAAATTGGCAAGACTCATTGTTTATACTAGGATCTTCCCCTCTTAGGTCACAAACAGGCTGCTAGGGAACTGCGAATGAAGGTACATGCTGGCCTTGAGACAAAACCACCCACATGAAGTAAATTCAAATCAGTGCTTCCTCCAGGAAACAAAGTGTTGTATTACTTACAAGCAGATTTGATTATGGTTTCGAGAATTGTTTAAACCCATTTTCCAGATCAAAGGAAAACAGATTTAAACTGATGTGCTCATTGTTTTAACAAACACTGGTTGATACCTGATGCAAAGATCAACGTGCTTGATGAGCCCCATGTAAAAGTTTAGTGAAAACACAGGCCATAATAAAGATGGAAACATGGGATCTCATCATTTTCTCAAAATACCTTCAGATTTTAGATTCTAAATTGAAGCTAAAAATAGTCTTATCCTAACATTTCTGAAGTAAAATCAAGTTCATGAAAGCAATACCATGAATAAGCTCTCAATACTGTGTTGGCCTCAATCTTCAAGTCCATAAAAATAACCATTAATCTCATTGTCAAGAACACACCTAAAATCCTTTCAAAAAAATCACAGCATTGAAGATATCTTTATGCACATCTGTCTACTATAGCATCCAATAAACATGCAGATTCATACAGCAGCATGCAAACAGCCTAGCAAAGAAAGGGTTAAGACGAAGGATGTCCTCAAAGCAATTCCAACAATCCCTCCAGATCATTCTGTTTGTGAGAGGTATTCTAGCTGAAAAGCCGGACTGGTTATCAGCTCAGAAGTTGGTGTTGATCTGTCATGAGCCAAAGGAACCTTCAAACTGCACGGAGGAAGTTGCTAGATTAAAGAAAAACAAACCATGGAGCAGAAGGTTCATGTTAGGAATCAGCTGAATCTCCTCTATTTTCCAGAAACAATTATTTTACCTTTAATTTCAAAGGGGCTTTGGGGTAAAAGATTGAAGGAAATATAGTTCACTTTAGCAAAGCACATATTGCAAAAAATAAATTTAGAAATCTATTTTTGGGCTAGAATGGTTGAAGAATCCCTGATTAGCCTCTTAATGGGGTGAGTCCAATTTAGTGAGAATGATCACCAGAGGGAGTCATTGACTTACCCATTAAAGTCAAAGGGAATTTTACATACATCAGGAGTGCAGAATTTGGGGGCAGAGCTGAGAAAGACTCCAAACAGATTGGAGTTCAGGGACTAACACAAAATGCTGTTTTATGGATTTAATCTGAATCTATTTTCCCCTTTGGAGTCCCAAAGGATGGCTGCTATATTCCACAGTGAAAGTTAAGAGAGAAGGCACTGAAGTCATTCATTCAGTGGGTACGCACTCCCACAAAAAATAAAAATCCCAGCACTTAATTGGTTTTAAAGTGGCTTGGAGTGGTGTAAGTATTAGCTGCTCAGTTTTTTTCTTTGGATATGCAACACATCACAGTCTTTCTGGAAAAGTAATTTTTAACAGCCCAGAGAAAATCTCCAGGTGCCATATATGAGAGTGTGTCATACCTCTTTGGAATATCAGGACTTTGAACAGGAAAATAAAAGAGTGAAAAGAAGACAGTAAGAATTGCTAGTATGTTTTGGGGGGTTGTATTTGTTGTTTTTCTTTCTTTAATGTTAGTGACTAAAAGAGGAAGTGAGAATAGGGATTTGTGAACCAAGTGATAAAATGAGCTAAGTAGATGAACCAGTCTACTCAGCCATGAGCGAGTGCATATTTCATGCTCAAACAGCTAAATTTCATGACTTTCAAAGAAATATTTTCATGTTAAGAACTGGGCTTTTTCGTACTGGACATCAGCTCAACCTTTTTCTTGCCACAAAAACCCAGCAGGCTTTGGTTTGAAAACAAGCTCATTCACTAGGCAACTTTCCCCTTAGTTCTGTACAATAAGATTATACAGTAGAAAATTAGGAGATTAAAAAAAGGCAAGGAAACAGCCCCACCCAACCAAATGCAATTTCCCTTCCCTAGAAATGTCCTCTGAACAAATGGAATTCAATTTGTTTCTGTGTTCCCAGGTAACGGCAGCACCTTGCTTTGCTTGTTTATTTAATTACTTCTCCTTGTTCATGCAATTAGCTGAGAGACTGCAGCCTTTTGTTCATTATGTTAACCATAACACAGTTATTTGCATAGCTGTTTCCATTTTGAGGCTGAATTTTGGATAGAGGCTCTATTTTGGGCTGTGGCAAGCAGAGAACCGCTGGGAAGCCTCATGCAGGGCAGCATGCAGCAACCTGCTCCTTGGTGGAGCGAGTCGCTCCAGGAACCGCGCCGGCTGCCCATCTGCTTCAGACGGCAAATCAAAGCCCTATTTCCAACATGCGCTACAAAGCACCGCACGGCTTAAGACTTGGTTGTCTTTCATGGTATGTACCAGCAAAACCAGCTGAGCTCATCCTAAAGCATTTTAGCCAACAGGCTGTCCAAGCTGCACTTTACTGCCCTTTAGAATCGTACAAGACATCGCTCTGGTCAACGTATGCTTGATTTAAAATTATCAGTACTCTTATTGTGGTTGGGAGAAAAAAAATTAGAGATGGAGGCTACTTTAGGCTTTCTTTCATGAACAGTTTGATTTAACATCCAGCTGAGTCCAGCACTGTTGCGATGCTCAAATGAGCTGTTGCACAGTTAAATCTTTTTTTAAGCAGTCAAGATACATCCCCAGATGACAGAGTTTAGCAGAATGCTGGCCCTCTCCATTAATAAACGCAGCAATCACCCCCTCCCCAAGTCCTCTGAGTTTCTGGCAGTGAACTGATGTCAGCTTTTTTTTATCTAGGTTGCTCAGAAATTGAGGAATCTGCACCTTCTTACAGAAACGAGAGGCAGAGTCGGTGCCGGTGGGAGCCTACATGCTCTGGTGCGCAGGAGGCACCTTCATCTCAGCCTCCAGGCACCTAAACACCCCCAAAACTCCACCTCTCAGGAGAAACTGCACACCAACTTACACTATTTGAAATATAGAGAACTGGAACAGACAGCTTGGAGAAATTGTCAGTCTTTGTAGTTTAGAATTCAGCCTTCATATATGACCCACAGCTATGGTTAGGATTAGTTCTGTGATCAATTGCAGCAAGGTGCAGCCTTTCAATGGCATCGTTTTAACCCTACCTGTGCCATCTGCCTCTCCAGCTTTGACCGGGGAATATCATCAAAATAGTTTTCATTTCTTCTTCTCCTTGCATCGCCCTGCATGATAATGTGGGGAACGTCCAGGGAGCCACCAGTAGTGAAAGTGCTTTGGCTAAGTGATGGAGACAACTGAGGAGGAGTGTGGTTACCACTGGGTTCCTGGACAGAGAGGAGAAAAATGCAGCATAAGCACAACAGCATATTGCTGACTTCAAACCACACATTTAAAAGCGTATTTGAATTATTCATACTAAAAAAAAAATTAAGGAACAATTACTGAAGTGGAGGTTACTGCGGATGAACTTTTGAGATTTGCTACCTAAGCTGCAGAGCCCATGTGGAAGGAAAAATAATTCACTATTTACATGAACTAGTGGCAAATTCCCTCTCCAAAACCTCCTTGTGTAATATATACTCCTTTCTAGGACTGCTGGAGAGATAAAACCATGAGTTACTTCTTGTCAAGGCCCAAATAAAGCCATGATTTAGGACTAGCTATTTGTAAGATGAAATACATTCTCAGCACTTCTGAGCAGCCACTCTGAGCACTGAAAGTGATTTGAAAGTGATTTGAACTCTAGCAACATCTCTTGCTGGAAAAAAAAGACATGCAAGAACATTTACAAAATATAGACATTTTGTTTGCAATTTTTATAGGTCTTGCTTGCAGAACAGCGGTTTAAGTACTGGATATCAGAAACAAGCTAAGTAACAATTCCTAGAATGCATGAAAGCATCAGAGCACAGATTTTTTTTACCAGGCTTTTCTTGTAATCTGTGCTGAACTGTGACCTTGTATCCATCAGGGTGTAAATACCACAGCCAGCTGCTACATGAACCCTATCCAAGAAACAGCTAAACACGGCCTCCCGATCATACATTTTACCAGGATCTGCCACTACGCCGCTCGCAGCCAGCCACCCCTACGTATGTTTGGAAACACCTATTCCTCGTGCACGTCACACCACTTGTTCAAACCCCAGTTACAAATGCTGGTGCCCAGCTCCACCGCTCAACGCTGCCTTGGAGTTTGCAGTCAGCAGGAGCAGAGCCACAGCGCACTAGTCGGCCAGTCTGCCCACGTAACCGCCCCAGCGGGGACTGGCGAACACTGGCTCAGCAACTGGGAGGGAAACACATTCCTCTCTCATGATGTAGGTTACTGGGCTCAATTTATCTGACACTAGAGATTTCTCTGATATTAAGTTCTTTGGAGGCAGAACGTACCCAGGAGTGTGTTTGCACAGCGCAGACCTTGTCTAAATTACCTATTGCTATAATTACCTACATTGTATTTTAATACTGAACAACAAGAAGGGACCTGAAGATACCAGAGGAAGCAAAGAACTGCTCCAGCGTGTGTGGAGGGTAAAAACCCCTGCCTTTTAATTTAAAAAAAGAATTAAAGTGGATATTTCACGCACGATTACATTGAAGCAAACCTAATTCTGAAAAGCATCAAGGTACTTTACTCCATGCTGTTAAGAAACATGATCTGGTGTAAGAAATCAGAGAGCTGTAATCTCTTCCAAATGGAAAGGGAAGTTGCAATTCTATGTATCCGTTCAAGCGATAGTAACATCTGATGTTAATATTTGAAATGTAGGAGTCTACATGACATTATTCCTTGCAATCACAATAACGGATTAGTATTTTCCATGGTGGTTGACTAAAACCAGGGATATATAGTTGTTTAGCAACTTTTAATTAACTGTGATTTTGTTTTTGTTGTTTTTTAGTTCTCTAGCTTTCCTATGATCTGAGACAAGCACTTGACATTTCCCAGGGCAAAGAAAGGAGTGTTTTCCTCTTAGGAATAGTCTTTTTCCCTCCTTCAGGAAAATCCACCTACATTTGGCCCAGTTAAAAGCTTCTGAAAAGCTGTAATCTGCTCACACTCAGAAGGCTTGGTGAGGCATAACGTCTAAAGCCTACCCCCAGCTCTTCCATGGGCCCAATTCTGACTCGATGGTTCAGATGCTTCTGCCCTGAAGAAAAATCTGAGTACAGGGGCACCAAACGAGATCCTTTCCAATGATTGCTACCTGCCGCTCCAGCCAGGTAGGTAACCCCTGTCTGATTCGAATCACAATTTGCCCACTTGTGAGCAGATCAATAGGGTCATCAGCACATCGCAGTGACAGATGACCGTGCAATGGTTATACAGATTCCAGCTCTCATCGAGCTTTTCATGTTTTATCAACCTGCATATAAAGAGGAAATTCACTCAGAAATCTCTATCGGAAGGTTGCTGGCAAGGCAATACAAGCAAGAATTACATAGTCAAGAAATAAAAGAATTACAGTGCCTCTGCATTATGGAACAGTATGTAATTGTATGATTTTATGCTATTTTCTCAAAGTCGTCCTTCGCAGCACAGATGGATCCTCAACTGTGCAGCATGTTGTCATATACGCAGCACTGTGTTATCATTAGTTATCATGTACTCAGTATTTTATTCTCACTTCATTTTGTGGTCCCAAACCCCTTCCCTAAACTCTATTCAAATCCTGCTCTGAAGATCGGATGACTAATATTGTCATTTTTGTGATGCTCGTAAGCGCTTTACAAACGTCAGTCAATTTATTTTCACCACACCCTGTGACTTCTGGCATTTTATAATCACTGCTTCAGTCGGGGGCGGGGGGCCTGAGACACACAGACAAAGGTTAAAAAATATCAGGCGCTTTGGATGCCCAATTACAATATCTATTGCCTGATTTTCCAAGTGTTTGTATTCAAAACTCCACTTGTATTGATCTAATTTGCAGCACTGTGCGCTCAGCACTTGTATAAATCAGACTCCCGACTCCAGTCAAATACGCAGAATGTCGGGAACATAGAATTAGTGACTGCTTATGAGGCAATTACCTAAATAACTTACCAAGCGTTATCCAAGGGCTTTGTGGCAAAAGCAGGTGTAAATCGGTATTTCCATAGCTACAGCTATTCCTTTAACCACGAGTCTCTCTCCCATTCTTCCTTCATTCCTCTTCCTCACTCCATACCCACGTTCTCATCTCCTTTACACTCAGCAGACCAGGCATGGATGCCCATGCCGGCGCTATCATGTACTCAGTACCATGCTGCTGTTAGTCGCCAGGTATTCACATCGCGTTCCCACCCTGTTGTGAATGCATGGATATATGCCCTGCAGGGATGCCTGATCATGTATTTCGCTATCGAAATTCACTTCATCCCCACCTCCTAGTCCTGCCAGTCACGTAACGCTGGGACCACACAGGTCAGGGCTGGAAGGGAGCTTAAAAAAATCCTTCCCCAGGCTGCCTAGGCACACCTCCTGCCCCACAGATGTTTGTCTGACCAGTTCCTAAAAACAGGAATTCTCTCTAGTTAATTAATTCTTGTGTTAAACTCTCATTACTATTGTAATGCTTCTTCTCCAAAGTTTCAGCCTAAATTGTTGTTCCTTCAGTTTAAATTCCAGCCTCCAATGCTGACTGGGTGAGGATGGGGTTCCATGAATAACAAGGAAACTGGTCCTGTAATTAAAGATTATAATGCACTCAAGGAAGGACAGACAGATTGCACAGTTAACCTGAGATCCAGCATTTTCTAACTTTCAAGTATATGACTTTGAAATCAAAATAACTTTTCCTTAGTACACAGTTATTGTGAGAATAACATATTTTTGTCGATATTTTTAATGTTTGTTCCTTTTCCTCAATATTTAACCATTTTTTCCTTTGAAATATTTTAGAAGCTAATAGAAAAAAAAAAGAGTAAAAAAAAAAGATGAAGTGTTAGCCATGCCTAAGGGACCTTCAGAAGCAGACTCTTTAAACAACAAACTATCATCTTCTCTACTGACCTGGAGCAACCTCATCTAGTGGAAGGTACCCCTGCCCACGGCAGGCGGGTTGGAACTAGATGATATTTAAGGTCCCTTCCAATCCAAACCATTCTATAATTCTATATAAATCAATCTTCTAGCAGCAGCAGACAGCTTATTTAAACCAATTTTCAAATTAAAAAATTATTGCAAAAACTACAGACTAAACACTATGTCCTCTCTTCATGTGAAGTGGCACAGTAGCAGTTGATGGGAAAGAAAACCCTCATCCAAACTCATGTCTTCCTCCTTAGGATTCTTTGTGAAGGCTCCAGTACCACAAGGTATCGAATGACATTTAGCACTTGCCCGCATCAGTAGCTCTAGCTGTGGAGCAGCAGACCACTTTTTATCATTTTGACTACAGATGGAGGACATCCAGATTTCTCTTCACTATTAACTGAGAATATACGGTCCTAACCAATAACATCAGCTGTGGAAATTTTCCCACCTGCTGAAGAGGAACTAATTCCCCAGTCCAGAGCACTGGAAGTATGAGCAAAAATGTGCGACTTTCAAATGATTCCTCTTTCCTGGGAGTGTTTTAACACCTGCCATGCATCAGGAATCATTCACATAATACATAAAAAATAGAATCCAAGAAAAATATCCACACGTTTGTGCAATGTGCCTTACAGCAGGACGTTACAGACCTGTGACGCCTTTTTCAACATGGCATTAGGACTAGGTTGAATTTGGGGGAGGGGGGGGAAATGGGGGGAAATCTAAAATGTCTATATGTGGCATTTGAGAATAAATAGGGTGCAAACAGGCTGGTCACAAAAATTGTAAGTCTATGTAAAAATAAGCCCTCATTCTGTCTTTCTCTGTTTCTCTTTACACCAGGAAATTTAACTTGGGAGCACGGACACTCTCTGACATTTGGAAATTTAGTCTCAAATGAGATTCTAGTCAGAAATGCAGCCCCATGAAAATAATCAGATCCAATCAAATGCAAAAGGTGTGACCTAAAATAACAAAATAAGAAGTGTTGATATGAACTCCCTTGGAGTCATCAGACCACAACTGGATAAGGGTAACAGACAGCAAGGAAGCAAAGGCATTGGGTTGGAGAAACCCAGTGACAGTGGTGTAACGAGAGGAGATTAAATCTGGTCATGTACGGAAAAAACCCAGGGAAATTGCAAGAAGGTTTCTGAAAGAGTGAATACAAATGAAAATTAAACATGCCACAAAGCTTCTGATACGCAGAAACATCTTAATGGCACTTGTATCTCAACAATTTCAAGAGGCTCGCTTTAAAGAAAGCATAAAGCGTATGTCTGAAAAGTAAGTGCAAGCATTTGAAAACGTGGAATGAAAATGGTAACTCTCCTACAATATTGATCGCCTGGGCTGGGATTCCTGTGGGCAAATGTAGATGTGCAGCTTGTACTCACCTGGTCCTGAGCTCGTTTCTTGAGCAAAGATAAGCTGGTACTTCTAAGTCACTACTTATCTCATCCTAAGGTAGACATCTGAAGCAGGTCAGATGAATCACCCTGCAAACATGTCAATTCATCTCCGCTGGCTAATACGGGGAGGTGCGACTGAGCAGGTCAGCCTAAGATGCCTACAGTGTAAACTTCTGAAGTGAGGTAAGTTGAACCCCACTCAAAGCAGTTTTGATGTGAATGTTATGAAATGCTTGCTGGCTTTTTGAGAAACGCAAACAAATTTTCATCGGGACTCACCCTGAGGGTTATTGACCGAGGTGGTTTCTGAGGGGGATCTTCGTGAAGCCTGTCTCCCAAAGATGCCAGAACGCGCTTCCGGTGGCCAATCAAGCTAATTTTCAAGACCTGAAATAGTAAAAAAAAATACCTCATTAAAAAGAACATCTTGCAATCATTAAATGAAGATCCATTCGGAGTGAAGCCGTTTACTCTTTAAACCTTTCAGCAAGTTAGTCCATCGCGCTGGCTAAGTGGACAGGGAGCAGCGCAAGGCTAACGATCAGCAGAGAAAATGAGAGCTGAGATCAGAGGAAAAGCCCTGCAAAAAGAAACCAAAGCAGGTGCAGATGTGGAAAACTGAAAAAGAAATAGGCTCAAAAATGAGTAAGGAGGAAAGGAAAATGAAACAGGAAGAGAAGGCAGCAGAGCAAGAGCAAACACAAGGGAAGGGGAGGAGGAGACTGGAGAAGGAAATGTGAGGTGCAGGCAAACTGTGAGTGATGAGGATGGCAGGGATTCACGGGATGGATGAGGAAGAGAGTGAGGAACAGCCAGCAAATGCTTAGAAAGGGCAAGAAGTGAAAAAAGGAACTCCACAATGAATAAACGTTATTGCTTTTAAATCCATTCACCGTGCCTTTCACAGGTAACCTCCAAACAACATGTGTGGGTTCCCTTATTGTGTAGAATCAGCCCTGCGTAAGAAACACAGGATGGACAAACTTTGTCCTGGAGGTCTAGTACTTTTATCAGATGCAAAGAAAAAAATCTCTGCTGCACACAAATGTGACAATCAGTAGATGGGTTCAAATACCTTGTGCTCGTCCAAACTCCAGGAACGCTGCCCAAAAGGTGTTCTAAACTTACTGCAACGACTCCCCACTTATATCTCTCTGTCTCTGCCACATACAAACCCATCACTGCTCTCAGGTAAACAGAGAGGGCAGAAGCGGCAAGTCGGAAACTGAAGCATTAGTGGAGGGAAAAAAAAATCATATTTCTATGCTATTCTTTGATGGCTTCAATGGATTCAAAGTGTAAAGCAGCCCTAATTGTAGAAGCAAGCCTCTGCTTGCAAACAGCAGTGTCCTCGCATAACTCTTCCAGACTGTATATATGGTTTCATACACCAGAGCTGCCTCCATTCCCTCTCAGAAGACAGTACTTCCCACTATATTTAGGACCACCGTGTGTCAACACCCTTCAGTCAAGAGGAATTTCTCACTCAATTTAGAAAAAGTAATAGTCCCCAAAAATCCCTGAAAACGCTACCTCTTAAGCGAACAACTACCTCAGTTTAAGTGGTACCGCCAAGAGCTACCACTCATGAGAACAAACAAAACAAAACCCAAACCCCAGCAACTCCCCGACGACATCTCTTAGATCCGGTATCTCAGGATATGGCACCGCAACATGCCACCATTATTCTGGTGAGCAAGCTCCTGTCAATCCATGGGCACATGAAGTCTTCGCTTCCCCTGTTGGATGTCTTGGTGCTATCTGATATTGTTGAACATCAAGAACATCTTGTTTGCCTGCATCTACAAAGCGATGGGCTAGGACATGAAGCAGATCGAGGCCTTCCTCCGAGAGGCAGCTTACAGGGTTGTTCCACAGCAGACCCAAGCTGCGGGGTCCCACAAGCCTGCTATGCGCTCTCCTGTTAGTCTAAATCTGGAGAAGCACCAGTGAAGCTGAGATAACGCAGCACACACAAAAATGCTGGAGGCATGCAGGAGACTTAGTTATGTATTCAGCTTACAGTGAATGTTAAGCAAAAGGCTACACAGTTTATCTCCGTATTTAACTATATGAAACACGTGAATGAACTACAGCTGCTTTAAGCATTACTGAGGTAATGCACTCCAGTGAACTTGCTTTTTTCCTAATGCTTCCCCATCATCAAGAGCATTTACCCAGAGATTTTTAAGTCAAGCCACAGTTCTTGGGTTGTTTCGAGATCCTCGGCGCTCTGACTGCCTTATTAGCTATATCAAGCCACACAAAGCAATTCTCTTTGACTTCACAGCACTGTTGAACAACAAGAGAGAAAAGGACACGCGTCTTGAGGGACTTCACACATAAGAGATCAGCAGACGGGTCTAAATAGTTATATTATTTCAACAACTGCGTTCAATTTGAAAGCAATACAGATCTTTGAACACTGTAAGCGCTACTAAACTTATTCCACATGTTGTTTTTCTATTAAAATGTTATTCACCCCAAATCTGAAGTGGTAAGGATTTAAAGATGCAACCTGCAGAAGCATATGGTCCTCAGCCAATAGGCAGATGTAGCCCAGTCTTATCTGGACCACATACTCTATTAACTGAAGACAGCTGTATTCTTCTGGAAAAGGATGCCCTACCAATTTTCTTACTTGGAAAACCTGTTACTCAACTTACAAATACGAAATACTGTTTTCTGAAACACTTCTGTGTTGGAGTTATAAGAGTTTAACAAACACCCTGAAATTCTGAAAACTTGTTCTGTGATGGATTATCCTTGACAGTATTTATCAAAAATGTCAAATATCACAAATATAGGTCAACGGTGTGCAATGGTGAAGTTGCCTAAAGCAGTATCTCAAAAATATCTTCATGCTGTGTACCAAATAACCTTTAAGCCTTGCACTTATTTAGCCCACAAATTAGCTCCCCATGAACACAGATAAGAGTACATATAGTAACACTGAACTATAGGGACAGTCTATACAATACACCTAAGTGCTATGCAGCAAAGCATTGTGTCAAATGGATTGCAGCCTACTTCATATATGGCAATGGAATGAGCTTTGCAGTGTGGCTGTAGGAATCAGCCACAACATGTCATGAAACCTTTAGAACTAGCCTAAGGGCCTCCACAACCTCCTATTCTGTTACTGGGACAAAAACTGCCTGTACCTGACATCCCTCCTTCCACACCGACAGCAGGATACCCAAGACAAAACTAATGCAACTCCATCTCACGTATTTTCTTATATTTGACGTTGTAATAGAATTGAAGGAGAACAGGGCAAGTGATTTGTCCAAAGAAATGACACACACACACAAATTTAATCCTATTTTTACCTCCGTGTTCTCCAGTGATTAACATACAAAACGAGATTCCACTAGGGAATGTAAGAAATCCACAAATGTAACCAATGCAACACTTTGCATTTAGATTTCTGACTTAGCTGACAGATGTTTTAAAAAACAAACACATGTAGTCCAATAACTCCCTTATGACTGTGCATGTGCAGATGCTGGAATTAACAAGTTATTCCAGCTAAAACCGAACATTGCTTCTGCAACATTCTTCTGCCTGATCTTTTCTTCTTATTGAATGGTATGATCCAATACTGTATTTTTATAATTATTCGGTATTTTTTAAAATGGGTATTATGAAGATTACTGAAATTCAAGACATCAATTCCCTTTCTTTTGGAATAATCTGAAAAGTTACTGTATGGGGTAAAATTAGTACCATAATAGTGCAAGCAATCTGGACTAAACATGCAGTGGCAATCAGACACTAGGAACTTCCTACAAAGTTGAAAACTAGAGAGTGATCAGAATGGTACTAGGAATTCTCTAGTGGCAGCATCAGACACTTCAGAATTTAAGAAGGAAAAAATGTTAAGTACAAGCCCACAAGGTGTGATCTTCCTACTTCTGCAAGTAAACAGCCCGAAACACTAGCTAAATTCAATTTTATTAACCATTTTACTGCTGGTCGTATTGGAATAAACTCCAGGCTATCTGGCATTGTGGCTGAAGAACACATTGCTATTGCCACTTTCCTGCCACAATGCCACCCCACAGGGCTAATCCTAAAACACGACAGTGCCCAGAATACCCAGGAAGCAAGCCCAGACCAACCAGTACAGCTCACCTGATCATTGTGACTGGTTTCACTGAAAATTTGAGAATGGATTAAATGCACTTGCTATATAAATTCCCAGCATGGACAACTGTTCAAAATTTTACAAATCCTATCCAGAGAACTGCTGTCAGTGGACAACCATTGCAACAACAACAACAAAAGCCTAAAAAACCCTACCCCACGTACACAGTGTAATAATTGGCTCATTTTGAAAGGTAAATATGCCTGAGTCATTAAACTTTCATAAAAACAACTACCCTCACTGTATTGTAGAGCTGATAACTACCCCCATGCCCCAGGACTCCAGCTGCACTAACGCCTGTCATGGGATGCTGCAGGTGTGGGAGCCCCGGTTACCAAGTGGGCTCGTTAATCTTATCCTCCACAGAGGATCAGCCCTAAACCCAAAGTAACTGGGAGCTGTGGAAAAAGGCCTGCTCTGCATCTCTGCCACCCCCCTTTCTCCTCTCTTGTGGTCAGGACCACAAAACGTGCAGGCAGAAGAAAGCCAGGGCTGCGCCACACAGCTGCGACATTGAATGCCCGCTGGCTTACCGATACCTGATGCAGTCAAGTCCAGTCCAAACCATATTAGAATTTTGTTGCATTTTTTTTTTTTTTACGTAGGGATACTTTATGTAATCGTTCTCATCCTGACTGCAACTGCTGATTCCTTCCAACCCTAAGTTATCACAAACCCTTGATATTTTTAGCAGCGCAGGGTTTTTCCTTGTAGACCTTTCCTGACTGCCCAGCAAAGTGCAGGTGTGTGGAAAGGGCGAGGCTGCAAAGCACCTGCAGCTCCGAGACTTGCTGCAACTCTGCTAAATGCAAGACTTCTCTGGTTTCTACAACTGCAGTGGAAGCAATTGTTTATTATGGCTATGAAGAGACGTGCAAGAGACTTACGATTTCATATCACAACGATATGAAACATGCACCATTATCCCCCTGAATTAATTACCCAACTGGAAACAGATGTCAGTTGTCTTGGTGACAGCATTTCACAAAGACAGATGGCTGCGTAGTAAGTCCCGTTTCTATACATTATCATGAGGAACTGGCGTTTGTTTGATTTTTCTTCCCCCTTCAAATATATAATTTAGTTGCAGATCTCCAGTTTAATGGTACTGGGCAGTCAGAGGCCAAAAGCCTTCTCCGGGCAAAGGTAATTTTGAATCCTGGGTTGTTCCCCCTCCCTGCACTGCGCTGCTGCAGGTTAGCTTGCTGCCAGAGCAGTGGTGTTACAAGGCTGTTCA